AGTAAGTCCGCCAGCAAATCCAAAAGCAGAATTTGAGATACAAAGCTCAACGTGACAAGCATCGAAGACAACAGACTTTTAAGGTAGGAGATTTGGTTTGGATACATCTACGAAAGGAATGATTTCCTAAACAGTCAAACACCAAGTTGTCTCCAAGAGCTGATGGTCCGTTCAAGATAGTGCAAAGGATCAACAACAATGCTTACAAGGTGGAATTACCTGGTTCTTATGGTGTATCTGCCACCTTCAATGTCGCTGATTTATCTCCATACATTGATGAAGATGATGAATTTGACTCGAGGGCGAGTTCTTCCCAACCCGAGGAGGATGAAACGGAAAGAGCATAATGAAACAGAAAGAGCCAGAAACGAGCTGAAACGGAAGGCACACACATAATGAAGCAGAAAACGGGAGACACACATAATGGCGCATCATAAACTCTTTGTAACCGTCCCTTAATTTCTGTAACCCCCATTTAAATTTGTATGGTTCAGTTTCATGAATTCTAGGACTATAAATAGGGCCTTGAGACTTGTGAAAGAGGTAGACTTCAGAGAATAAGAATTGCTTGTTGTTCATTCGGTTTCTGTGCCAGCTGTGAAACAAACACTCCCTCTCACTCGTGATCTCTATTACCGGACGAGCGACAACTTCCTTCATCTCTCAACCATAGACTGTCGAGACCCACATTATCTAGAGCCATGGATAGGTTTGCACAGAGAGTTCTAACTTGCTTTAGGACCCTTTAACCGTGGACAGTAATGACTTCTCCACAACTTCAACCGTGAACGATTTTGCATAGGGGCTTTAGCTTGTTCCAGGTGTCTTCATCTGTAAATAGTGTTGATTCTTTCACCTTTTAAGCCGTGGATGGTTGTCCTACTTGGGCCTGTTTTGGGCTTTTGGCCCAAGGCACTCCACTTTTTGCTTGATTTTTGTCCTATTTCATCTTCTTTCTTCCTAATTTCCATAGATGATCCACATGTGAGATAATATAACATGATTTCTTTAATTTTAATGCCGTAATGATTAAAATTCCTTAGTAAAAAGTGCCGAAAAATAGTTGAAATAGTGGCTTATCAGCTGCGGGGATGAGAGATTAAGTTTCAGAAGTATGATGATCTAAAAAGAGAACAAGAGAAGCCTGCCCCTGTCTTTAAAAAAATAATTAGAAAAAAACACAATGGTAGCCTATTTTTTAAAAAGAAAAATGCCGACCAGTAGCATTTCATCCATAAATGCTACTTGATATTTAAATTTTAAAAAATAAAAACAAAAGTAATAGCATTTATACTAAAACTGCTACCACTTATGCAAACGAACGGTATAGCATTTCATACATAAATGCTACTAAATATTTAAATTTGAAAAAAAAAAAAACAGTAGTAGTAGCATTTCTACTTTAAAATGCTACTACGTACTAATTCCTCATAAAGCAGTAGCATTTTAATTTGTTTTATAAACACTACCTAATTTATTTTAGTAGCTTTTATTCAATCAAATACTATTAGCTATATGCTACTAAATCTTACTTCTATAGTAGTGATTTGACTATATGAAAGTGTTTTTGCAACTTTCATAAATCTCAAATATAATTATAGAATTGGTGCTTGTTAAAATGAAATGAGGACTTGTTATTTTTTGAATGATTGCTTGTTAATAAGAACACTTCACTTGTGATTAACCTATTGTTAAAGTTATTGCATATATTATTCTTTTCACATTATAACTAATTAAAGAGAATTGATGGTTTGATAGTCATTAATGCTTTGAGTGGCCAAGGGATGTTGGATTTAAACCCCACTTAGCCACCTTTAATGATTTAACTGGTCATTGGAGGTTCAACAGTCCATGACCTTACCCACGGCAAGGAGTCTCTAGTGACTATGGTGGAAGACTTTTTTTTTTTTAAAATATATATATATATATATATCAAGGATATTTTCATCTTTTCACAACATAATTAAATTTCATTTATGTTTCTTGGTCTTATAAAGAAATTTTAGAATTACTTTGTTCTTGTTTGTGAATAAATTTTTTAGATGGTCCCCAAATGCCATTTATCCTTTATTTTTAATCTCAAACGCTTCAACAACTAACCCATAATTAAAAGGAAGCTAGCTAGTATAGGTTATAAAACCTATAGGGTTTCAAACACAACATTAACTGAACTAAATGGTTATACAATGGAAGCTCATAATACAATAAACATGAATAATTTAGTATAGCCTGCAATCTGTTTTTTTTTTTTTCTATATATACATTATGTTCTTCATGTCTTCATCTACTACTCAAATTCTTCAAAATATTTTTATTGACACGTTGAACCTCGATCATATGATATTCTCAATTAATAAGCAAGATCCATTTTCTTATGATCTCCTCTCTTCATTCATAACCAAATCATGATATTCTTTCCTTTTCTACAATCAAAAAAATGAGGAAAAATTATAAATATATCACATATAAAAAACTTATTTAGAAAAAAATCCCATGAATTTGTGTCAAAATACAAGAAGGTCCCAGGGGTCTTTGTTGTAATTAATTTATCATTTTAAATGACACATATGCCCTTAGACTTCCACTCCTTTCAGTGGTATATATTGACTAACCACCGGCAATTGTTGACTAGTGGCCGGCAGTTGTTGACCAGTAAAAAAAAAAATTCTTTTGGTAAAATGTTTTTATTGAGTTACTTATATTTTAATATTTACAGCTCAAACTTCTTAATTTACAAGTTGACCTGTTACAATGTTAATAGGTTAATACTTACAAGTAAAGTTCACATATTTACAAGTTAAATTTTTACAAGTCTAACTTGTAAATTTGAAAACTTTAATTGTAGGTTGCCCTATAAATGTAAAAAAGTTTTATTGGTTAATATTGAATATTTACTTATTAATATGTGATGTTTAAATTTTATGCATTAATGTATTAATATTTTAATAAAATATTTTTTAAAAAATTTATTTATGATCAGTTTGTTACTGCTAGTAGTAAGTCAATGTTAGTCAAATGGGTTAGAGTCTTAGGGCATTTGTATCAGTTTTACATGGTTAATTAATGGAATAATGTAACTTTTATTCCTTTAATTTGCCTCATTTATTAATTTGGTTTCTCAAATTTAATTTTTATCAACTTGATCCCTTAAATTTGTCTCAATTATTGATTTGATAATTATTGTTTAAAGATAAAGTAACATTGTTAAAATCTATTGATAAGAATAATAGAATATCGATCGTAACTATGTCCATTAAAGAAAGAAGTGTAATTATTCAAGTGAGAAAAGAATAGACTCAAAAAACAGACTTATTTGAAGGTCAATTTTACATTTTAAAACTTTAAGATTAACAAGACAATTTAAAGAAAATATAAAGGGGTGAAATGAATAAAGATTAAATTTAAAGTATCAAATCAATAATTGAGGAATACTCGAACGGTGAAAAGTTTCGTTATCTCTAAATTAATTACAACCAAATCTCATTAGATATGAATGTATTTTCACAAATTTGTAAGACTTATTTATAATTAAGCTTCTTATATTAAAACTTGTTTGTAATTTTCCCAGGAAATAATCCCGTGCATGAAGATATTCAAATTTTCTGTTATCAAATAACGTATTGTGCAATACGTCAAACAAAATAGAGTATTAAACAATTAAATTCATAGGTTTATTACCATCAAAATCAGATGATCGACCATTTGATCAGAGAGCTTACAATCTGCAAAGCCTGATGCATTTAGTATATGAAGTTTCTTCAAGTTCGGTATTAAACGTGGTAGTTATAATCGAGTGATGATATTTAAGCATTTATAGATGATTATACGCTTAATTACAATTAAAAGTACAATGTAGTAGATGCAATATATAAAAGGTATTTTTAATTTGTTAAAAGACTTAACATCACAGATTTTGTAATTAATGTGAAAATATATACATCTTAATTAAAAAAAATTCTTTTATTTGTATTATGAATGAATGAGGACCAAAACCGATATAGAAAACACTACAAGTGAATTTTTCTCAATTCAAAATTCAAATGTATAATTTGTGTGCAGGACATGAAGATCATTTTCAAATAATAATAAAATTATATATGTACATATAGTGACAAACATTAAGTTTCAAAATTAAGATGATTTGGTTAATTTTGGATTGATTTGATTGAGTGAACTGGATCAAACGAGCTTTTTACTTATATTGATATTTTAAAAAAAATATCATGATCTTAATGTGTGTGTGTATGGTGTTGTTGTTGTTGGGTTTTTTTTTTTAATATGTTAATTAACTTGTTGACTCTGTGCAAGACAATATGATTCATTTCACAGCATTTTGGAATCCGCCAAATGCTTGTACAACTTTTTGAACTATATGAACGGAATGCGTAGTCTCTTAGACATTGCAGCTTATTTCTTTCTTTTCTTTTTTGTTTTTTTTTCTTGTTATGGTTTTCATTAGCCTTTTTCATTTAAAAAGGGGGGAAAGTAAATGTGTTATATTTTTCCTTTTATTTATTAGAAGTTGAATAAGAACATTGTATGGTAATTAATTGAGTATCTCATACTATATTTCAAGTTCAATGCATATTCATAACTAATTAATATGGATGCATGGCAGCACATGTATAAATATAAGCCAATTGAAAAAATGAAACAGTACACAATCAGCTCCTTGATCTGATCGATCTCTTCCCCATCAGCATTTCATCTAAAGTTTCAAGTGATTAATCTTGCTCGTGATACCTCCTCCCTCTCCTTCTATTCTTTCTAATTGTTCGTTCATGCGTTATATACTTATTTTTTTAAAAAAAAAATGCAATTTGTACTTGAAATTTTATATATCAGTTTTGGTTAAATGAAATCTCCTCTCTTCATCGAGGAAATATTCTTTTTAGACAATCAATTTCTTTTGGTACGACATGGAGAAGCAGTCAAATGATTCGATCTTATGTTCTTTATTTTTTTTTTCAAGGTTATCATCAAAGGTCAAGAACAAAAATATGACTCCTTGCAAGAATAAGGTTGTGTTCATAATGGGATCAACGGGCACAGGAAAAACCAACCTTTCGATTGACCTAGGCTCACATTTCCCTTCTGAAATAATTAACGTTGACAAGATCCAAGTTTACAAGGGTTTGGACATCATCGCCAACAAGATCGCAGAATCTCAACGACGAGGAATCCCCCACCACCTCCTCGGAATCATCGAAGATCCCGATTTTGACTTCACTCCTACCTATTTTTGCGACTATGTCATCTCTGCAATCGAACATATCACCAAACAAGGACACATACCCATCATCGTTGGAGGCTCCAACACCTACCTAGAATGCCCTGTGGAAGATGCCACCTTAGACTTTCGTTCCAAATATGATTGTTGCTTCCTGTGGCTTGACGTATCTCTTGATGTCCTGTTTCCCTATCTGGACAAAAGGGCTGATGAAATGGTGGACGCAGGGTTTGTGGATGAGACTAGAGAGTACTTCATGCCCGGGGCTGACTATTCGGCTGGAATCAGAAGAGCAATTGGTGCTTTTGAATTCGACGAGTATTTTAAGGTAGAGAACGATCTTAATGTTGACGATAGTTACAAGCAAGAGTTGCTCAAAGACGCTCTTCGAAGAATGAAAGAGAACACTCATACCCTGGCTCGATTGCAACTTTCAAAGATACGTCGAATCAATAATGAGCTTTCCTGGGGATTGCATCGTATTGATGCTACTAAGGTATTTGAGGCTGTTTTGAATGGCAATGTGTATCAAGTTTTGTGGAAAGATATTGCTTTTAATCCAAGCAAGGAGATTGTTCAGAATTTCCTTCAAGGCTAGCAGATCCAATGCCTTTTGGGATGGCTTAAAATAGGCCTTTAAAGGATTGTGGGCTTAACTAGCCCAGTAAGTTGTGTCTTTTGTTTGGTGAGTTTGTGTGTTAGCCTTTATTGCAGGTTTTCTCCAGTGTTTTTTTGGCTTTGATTATTTGTAATTGTAATTTGTTTTTTGTTGATTGATAAAATTGGCTTTGTTTTGGTAAAAAAAAAAATAAAAAATAGCCCAATTGGTTGAGATGTGATTAACAAGGCCACTTTGAAAGATCCAATGACTTTTTTTTTAAATAAAATTTTCATGCCAAAAGAAAATTTTGATATATCTTATTTTGGATTGTGTTTTTTTAAATAAATTTTCCATTATTGTTGGCAAAATTAGGTTTTTGTCTGATACAATATAATTAAATATCGCAAGGTACATTGACAAATGGGAAAAATGACAACACATTTTACTATGTTTAATTGTCAATAGACATATGATATAATTTGATTGTATTGTATGGAACTAAGGTTCAATTCTCCCTTTACTGTTTTCAACTCTTGTAAAATTTAATCACTTGAGTCTAGCATCACAAAATTACAAGTGGTGCAATTTTTCTCTCAAACATTTAAAAATAAAAATAGTGCACTAAGAACCTTTTCATTTAAAAAGTTAACTTTAACCATTAATTAATTTAAAATTATAAAAAAGGGCGTTAAAATTTCAAAAAATGATTCATAAAACTGTAAATATGTACTTTATAAGAAAATTAATATCTATTAAGTCTCTAAAATAATGGTTGGTTGAAATTATATTTTAGCCTTTTACTAGGTAAGGAAAAATATTTATATCATGTTATTTATAAGTAATTTGGAATTTAATTAATATTAATTTTCTTATATGATAATTATGTACAATATTACAGGTTATTTTCTGTAATTTTTGAAGTCATTTTTTGTATTTTTTAAGTCAACTAGTCAAAGTAAACTTTTTTTAATGTCAAGGTATTCAATGTGCTATTTTTAAATGTTGAAGGAAGAAATTACATTATATAAAAGTTAAGAATATCAAATATTTCTAAACAAATGGTTGAAAAAAAAAGTTAAATTTTTATTTTATAGCAACCTCTTTATTGTTAAGGACATGTGTGTCAGTCTGTGCGCATGCTCGCACAAGTATAATAATCCATTATGAGCCATGTATTTATGCTATTTTGTTATATACATAATATTTATTAATTCTTCTTTTTTTTCACCTAGATTGTTTATTAAATCTTCTGACTGTATGTAATTCTGGTAAATTTCTTCAATACTCGATAGGTTCAGTTCAAATTTCTTCTAATTAAATATTAAACATCATAGTTATAATCTAAAGATGATATCTGAGTATTTATATATAATTTGTATAGTCTTAATGATCACAACATAATTTTAGGCAAGAAATGTATTAGAATTAATATGTAATTAATTTGAGTATATATTCATCAGTTGAAGACATATTTATTACGAAAAAGTTAAAAGAGTTAAAATCACATATTGGCTAATTAATTTGAACATATCTAAGATCAGTTAAAGAAAAAGAAACAAACTTTTACTTAAATTAATCCTAGATGCATCTTCATTAGATTATAGTTTTTATAGGAAGGAATGGAGACCAAAACCAATATCAGAACTACCACAAGCTAATATTTCTCAATTCAAACATGCAAAATGTGTAGAACTTGAAAAATCATGTTTAAATAGTATATATATATATATATATATATATATATATATATATAAACAAACAGATATTAAAATCGAAATCAATGTTTACTCTCTCTTGCAAGATCTTCTGCAAGAAACGCCCAACAGAGTTTGTTAAGAAAGACACAAATCACAAATCAAGTTCCGCTATATCACACTTTTGATATATAGAAGGCACATTAGGGAAGCCAAATTAAAGACGCCTCTTGTACTCCAACGTTAAAAACGAACTTATTCAGTTCAAAATCTTTCAATTGAAATAGTTGCCGTTAGTAAAAATGTTATCTTATCTGGGAAATGGCGAATCTAGAACCCAAGGCTAGTAAGGACAGTGTATTTTTTACCTATTCAAAACTTGAGTTTCAAACACTAATCACTTTTTTTTCCCCATTATGAAAAGAAAAAGACCCAGCTAGGATATGTTATTACAAATGCAAATCTGACTAACACCTAGAGCATCATCTTGCAAGGAGCTTTCTCTAGTTGTCCGATGGATGATCCAAGTCAGGCATACCCACATATATGGAAATGGTAAAAGAGGCCAAAATATCAGAACATGTAGAATAGATGTGTTCAATCTCAACTTGCCACTCACTATGTAGGAGAGAGTCAACTTGCCCAATCAAGCAGCTATTGACATTCACAAAAATGATATCTTTTGATAAAAGATTCATAGCTAGCACACAATCAACATCTAGCTTAACCTTCCTAAAGCCCTGCTCCCAAGCTATATTCAAGCCATCAATTATAGCCCAAAGTTTTGCCTGTAAGGGAATGCAAACTCCAATGTTGCAGTTGAAGAAGCTGATTATTCAGCATTTAATCATTTACTATCTAGCAAAGTTTTATGGCATTGTAGATTTGGACATTCTAATCCTAGGGTGTTAAATAGAATCATTAGTGATTGTAATCTCAAAGTTTCAAGTAATGAGGATTTGCTCTGTGAATCATGCAAACATGAAAAGTCTCATGCCTTGCCCTTTAAAATTTCATTCTCACATGCCCCCAAACTACTAGAATTGGTTTACATAGATTTATAAGGTCTATCACCTCTTGTTTCCATGAATGGATTTCGGTATTACATACTGTTTGTTGATGACTATAGTCATTATTCTCGAGTTTTTCCTTTAAAATCCAAGGATTAATTTTTAAATACATTCATTTAGCTTAAAAAATTAGTTGAAAACCATTTTGACACCAAAATCAAAATGATTCAGAGTGATTGGAGAGGAGAATATAGAAGTTTCACTAAGGAACTAAAAGAATCAGGTATTCAGTTCATACATTCATGCCTACACACATATGGTCAAAATGGAAGAATTGAAAGAAAATACAAACATGTTGTTGAAATGGGTCTAACTTTACTTGCTCAAGCTAAAATGCCCTTATTCTACTGGTGGGAAGCTTTCAGTATTGCTAAAGATCTTATTAATATTATACCTTCTAGTGTTTTAGGGTGTATCTCCCCTCATTTTTGTCTCTTTAGCACACATCCTGACTATCATAGACTGAAGGTTTTTGGTTCAGCCTGTTATCCTTATATTATACCTTATAATTGACATAAATTGCATTTTCGATCAACCAAGTGTGTGTTCATTAGATATAGCAATGCTCACAAAGGTTATAAGTGTCTTATGTGTTTATTAAAGGTTATAAGTGTCTTAGTCCTACAAGTAGAATATCTATCTCTAGACATGTTTAGTTTAATGAGGCTGACTTTCCTTTTGCACAAGGTTTATTGACAAAGGAAAAATACTTGAAGAGCAAGTTGTTCATCCAGAAGCATTCATTAGACAAAGTCTAGCTGCTGTCCAAAGAAAATGTGCTAATGACACTGCTCCTTTGATGTCTTTTGGTGACACGAGTTCATAATCTGTCACAACAACACCTCCTACTCTAAGTGTATCAGTTACATCTCCTCAACCTCATCACAAGGTGTCTTACACCTATTGCCTCTAAAACCAGTAAAGATGTAAACAATGTTAGCCCTAAACAAAATTTAGAATTCTCAATTGCCTTACCTCAATCATAAAATACTCAAGCTAATAATTTAGAAGACACATAAGATATGCAACTTGTTCCCATAAATAGACATTCTGTGATAACTCATAATAAAGCAGGCATTTCCAAACCTAAAGCCCCCTATATTGGTGCCATCACTACTGACACTCACTCTGAACTCTATAAACCTAGATCAATTGCAGAGGCATTTCATTCAAAAAGCTGGAAAAAGGCAATGCAAAGTGAATATGATTCTCTTCTTTTAAATAAGACATGGGAGTTAGTACCTTATACTGGCTAGAGGAATCTTGTGGATTATAAATGAGATTTCACTATGAAACTTAATGTAGATGGTCACTTTAAAAGCACAAAAGCTACACTGGTAGCTAAAGGTTTTCAATAAAGTCTTAGTGTTCATTTTGATGAGACATTTAGTCCTATTCTAAAAGGCTTAACACTCAGGTTTATTCCCACTATTGCAGTAACTTTCAGGTGGCAAATTTGACAATTGGACATTAACAATGCATTTCTTAATGGAGATTTGCAAGAGCAGGTTTTAATGTGATAGCCTGAAAGGTTTGTTAATCCTAAATTTCCACATCATGTATGTCTACTCAAAAAGGAACCTTATAGCTTAAAACAAGCACCAAAAGCTTGGTTTGATAAGCTTAAGAAGACTCTAATCAACTAGGGCTTTCTTTACTCAAAGTGTGACTCATCTCTGTTCTTCTTAAGGCATGACAAAGTGGTTATGTTTGTTCTAATTTATGTAGATGACATCATTATCACTGGAAATCTACCTATAGCCTTAAATTTGTTTATAAAGCAACTAAATGCCTATTATGTCCTAAAAGATTTAGGCCAACTTCACCATTTTTTGGGTATTGAGGCTTACAAAGATGAAACAGGATACTACCTAAAACAAGAATGATATATCTTGAATATTCTAAAGAAGTATGGCATGTCAAATGTGTCCTCAATTCTAACTCCTATAGTTGTAAGCATTTTTCTAAAGAAGAAGGCACTCTTCTTAAAGATCTAACTCTTTACAAATAAATCATAGGTTTAGTACAATATTTAGTTCATATTCAACCATATATAATATTCTCTGTGAACAAGTTGAGTTAATATTTAAGTGCACTATGAGATATTCACTGGTAAGGACTAAAATGAGTCTTAAGATACTTTAAGGGAACTACAGATCTGAGCTTGTGCATTAAACCAAGCAATCATCTCACTTTACTAAGCTTTTTAGATGCCTACTAGGCCATATGCCCT